AGTACTGCCCGTCGTCCGTTCGGACGCGCGCCCTCACGCCCTCGTGGAAGTGGCGAATGACCGCCAGCATCTTCGGGGGCACGCCGAAGCGTCGGAGCACGTCCCACAGTAGGTCTCGGTCCACCGAATCGTATGCCTTGGTGAGGTCGACGAAGCACGCGAACACCGCAGTACTCTTCTTCCTCGCGAGCTCATGGAGCCGCTGGATGGTGAACAGCATGTCGAGCGTCGACCGGTGTGGGCGGAAACCGCTCTGCTCCTCCGGGAGGATGCCCTCTCGCTCGCAGTAGTGGCTCAGTCGTGTAGCGACGACCTTAAGCAGCACCTTGCCGGCATGTGTTGCGGAGTGTTTATTTCCAACACATGTGTTTTTTTCTCCAACCGGAGGAAAACTGTCCTCTCGAAGAAAAGGCTCGCCCATTCCACGTGACCGACGGCAGCTTCTAGCGTAAGGCCTATGATACTTTCCTCACACTGCCTTTCAACTCCGCCATCAGCTCACAGGAGCGCAGAGGTGATGATGATTTCCTTGAAAAACAGTACCTTGCCTTGTCATCGGCTGCGAGGCTAAGGCGGGGTGGGCGGGGCGGCGCGACGTTTCAATTGTTTCTTGTGTGAATGCCACCTCAGACTTGTAGATTGTGACGTCAGTGACCTGTCGGAGGTCTACCTTCGGGGGTGTTGCCACAGATAGAGTCAGTGTACGATGGACGCTGAACCTTGCTGCAGCAAGGTTGCTCCCCCCTGACTCACTTCACAGCTATCCGCTCTTCAGCCTCTACACAAGAGGTTGAACCGTTGTGTATCCACATCTCACATCCCAAGGGGGACTTGTCCACACGTGAACCTGGAGACATCAGTCTCATGGTTGTTTTTTAAAAACTTTCTTCCGACGGCTTGTCGTGAGGAGCACCTTTGCCGTGTTCGAACGGACCTCGACATCACCACCCTTCACCACCCTCCGCCTTCCACTCTCGCCACGTGTTATTATTGTGCTCTCTGTCTCACTGGCATACACCCAAAGAAAGGTCTTTTGCGTCGTGTGCAACACCGCATGAAGCCCCACGGGGTATCTATGTCAGAGGGCGCCCCACCGAACAGCACCTGTCTGTCCCTCGACTGAAGCTAGCAGCTAGCAGCTACCGACAGACGACCGAAACAGTGAAGTTTTTTTTTTTTGCTGCCTTTTGGTGGGCAATTCAGCTATGTAGAAATCCCATTTGCTAGTAAAAAGGTCCCTTGATTTCTCTAGGTCGCCTTAACAAGAAAAAACAAAACGCCGAAACCAAACCCGAAATTAGCTCATAGGGCACACACGCCCCACAACAGTGGCATCAGTTTCAACATGTTCAGCGGTAGTGGTGGCATCAGTTTCACCGTACCCCACTTGTGACGGCGTCTTTTTTTGTTTTTTTCTCCCGGCAGACGGGGTGTGTTCTTTCTGGTTTTTTTTTTTTTCTGCCCGAGGCCGGAAGGGCACTCTCCGCTGTCGTTCGGCAGCTAAAACTCTCCACGGCAACCGTGGTTTGGGGCCTGGTTCCTTGTTTCCTCTTGGTGCTCGAGTGTGTAGCTCGATTGTCTCAGCTACCGTCGGGTCAGAGCCCGTGCCGTGCCTTGTGCTGATGACGTGTGGCCCTGTCCTACTAATCGTGGGGCCAGGGCGTCCTGATGTTGGTGTTGGTGTGATGGTATCGACCTTCCCGGAGCGCTGGTATCGACGTTGACCGAAGGTTGAACTACATGCCAGGGGTCGTTGCCTCGCCCGCTTGCTCTCCGCTTCTCCCTGCCCTGACAATCAGCACCCGTATCTTGGTTTTCTCACGTCCGACGGTGCCATATGCTTGCGGTATGCCACTGGAGTACCGTCGATTGTATGCATATACGAATTGCACACCCGGTGGAACAATTTCTAAAGCTCGATTACTCCACGACGATGAGGGTGCCACAGTCAAGTGATGCATGTTCGGACGAGACGCCGCCATGTACGGCACGAACCGTCATCACCTGCTGGTTGTTCCCGGCAGAGTAGTGAAGCTTTTGAGCATCGGTCCAGGAGGGTGAGGCATCTTACGACCCAACATGACGGCAATATATAAAGCCAACACCACATGTCACGGTCTTCCCTCTTTACAGCAGTGACCCTCACTCACGAGGCTCATCTTGATACTACGCGCTTGTCGCAGGTCGCTTCGTCGGCGGCGGCGGCGGCCGCAACTGGCGGCGCCGCCGGGGCCCCGCCGCCGACATCGACTTCGGGGGGTGCGGTGGTGGACATCGACGACGTCCTGCGGCAGTCGCAGGTCCTGCTGAAGCGCGACGATGAGGAGGGATCGGGCGGCAGCAAGCGCGTGCTAATTCTCATGTCGGACACGGGAGGGGGGCACCGTGCCTCGGCTCAGGTGGGGGGTGGTATCTTGATGACGGATACAAGCGCTGTTTCTCAACTGCTGGTGTATCGACAATGCCACAAACGACAGACGCGGTACTCCATCCACGATGACGTTCCACAAATAACGAAGACTGCAACGATAACGACAACCGTTATCAGAGAGAGGGCTGTCGTTTGTTTTTGTTGTAGAAGTAGAAGAGAACGACGATCGTCTGGCTAGAGTTTGTGCCGCCAGGACTACATGTCCACATTCAAGACGGTTTGTTCGGGGGCGTGTGCAGCACTGGAAAAGTTGTTCTTGCGTGTTGCAAACCTCACGGGCCTGATGTAAGCAGGGCCGGCGACGACCGCACACAACAGCGTGCACAATGGTGTGGTGATGCAGTTGAAGAGTTTAGTTTTAGTTGTTTTTTTTTGTGAAGTTCCTTTTGCTCCGCCATGCCCTCAGATGTATAGTTTTGGCAATTAGGTTTTCAGGAGAGGGGGTGTTTGCGCCTGTTCCTTGTCGAAAGAAATATTCTGCCTGCAGCAGACAAGCAGTAGATACCTCCCTGTCGCGTTGTCGTCTCGGCGAGAACGGCAGAGCATTCCATGTGCCACGTGCCGCAAATACCACAGCAACGACGACGTCGACGACGGCAGCAATATCGCGCAGACAAGATAAGAACGCTGGGTAAACCACCAAACCCGCAAGTTCTGGCCAGATACCCTCGTTATCCCCTGCCCACCTTGCTTTCTTAACATACCCCCCCCCCTCGAGGACGCGTGGTCAATGGTCTAACCGCTAAGACATGCAAAACATAAGAGTACGCCCCCC